AAGACCAACCTCACTCTGTTACCCAGGCTGGAGTGCAGTGGCGCGATCTCGGCTCCCTGCAACCTCCGCCTCCCAGGTTCAAGTGATTCTCGTGCCTCAGCCTCTCAAGTGGCTGGGATTACAGGTGCCCCCCGCGCCCGGGCGTCCTCCTCCCCTGGTCCCGGTCTCAATCGCATTCCCCGCGGGGACGCCCCCTCCCCCGCCCGGGCGTCGCCGCTACCCGGCCCCCCGCGGCCTCCCCGCCTCCCGCCCCCGGGGATCCCCTGCCGCCCCGCCCACCCGCGGGAAAGCCTACGACCTTCGCCCTGCCTCCCCCGCGCCGCCCGGCCCGCGTTCCTCCCGCCGGTCCCAAAAATGCTAGTCGTGCCCTACTCTGCCCTTGGGGAGAGGTAAAGCCCGCGCCGGTCCTCCCCGCCCCGGGCCCCGCGGCCCCAGGGTCTGCCCGCCCGCCCGCCTCGCCCGCCGCGGCGCGCGCATCCCGGCTCGGCCACCCGACTGCCCTGCGGCCGCGATCATGCAGTGGCCCAGGAGGCCGGCGAGCTCCGCCGCCTCCTCTGCCCCGCGCCTGCGGCCCCCGCCCGCGCGCCCCGCGCTCCCCCCGCCCCCCAGCCCGCTCCCCTGTTTAGTATTTCAGCGCTGGGTGGTGTGAGCTTCAGTCGCCGGCCTTCAGCTTGGCGGCTGCTGGGCGGCGTCGGGGCGGCGGACGGAGCGGGGGACCGGGGAGCGGCGGCCGCTACTGGAGGTTATGTTTGTGTTTAGGGTTGTCAAGTGAAGGAGGGATCCCGGGCGCTGCCGCCGCCGGGCGGGGGTCGCGGAGATCCGGAGCCCCGGCCGACGCCATCAGCAGCGCAGCTCCAGGGCCGGCTGCAGCGGCAGCGGCTCCGCCGGGCGTCCTAGCAGCAGGTTCGGCGCGGGCTCCGCCGCCTGGGCGCTGCAGCTGGGGAGGGGGGCGGGGCGGAGCGGGGGGTAGGGGGCGGCAGGAGCACATCCCCTCGGCGGGCGAGGGGCGTGCGGGCGTGCGCCTGTCTGTGTGTGTNACAAAGTGAGTGTTTGCAGGCCCGGCCCCAGCAGGTGGGGATCAACATCTCAAAGCAATCCACCTGCCTCGGCCTCCCAAGGTACTAGGGTAAGAGGTGGGAGCCTCCTCGCCCAGCCAGCCTTGTTCTAACAGCCTGCACTGACCCTGGCCGACTCTTCCAGATGACACTGGTTGGAGAGGGCAGTCGGGAGGGGCAGTATCAGGCTTCAAGCTGTGTGAAAGGGGAAGTTTTGCCCAGCAGCAAATTCTCTCTGGATTAAGAGCGTGGTGATTGGCAGCCACAGTGAACTAGAGAGACGCGTCCTCCAGGGAAAGCCTACACCTCCTCCAAGGTGTCTGTGCTGGCTTCTGGGGCCTTTGACCACTGCTTTCCATCGGGTACTCTGTGTTCACAGCTGGAGCAAAAGGCCTGAGAAATTCCACTCAGCATGACTGGTCCTCATGGTCTCTTCACTCCTGTAATTGTAGGTGACCTCAGGAAAACAGCCTGGATTCTGCAATCACTGACTCACTGATGAAAAATCCAGGTGAAAAGAAAGGCGGGGCTTTCCTGCTGCCTTCAGTCTGGAGATCTCATTCCAGCTTCCCGCTGGGCACAAGGCGGGGTGGTGGAAGGAGCAGTTTTTGCAGGTGAAGAACGCTGGCCTCATTGTACAGTCCCTGAAGGAGCCATGTCCCTCTAAGTGGGTGGGTTTGTGTGCATGGGACTCTGGGGGTGTCTTCATGGGTGTCATGTGGTGTGACTGAGTGTGTGTGGAAGTGTGTGTGGGAGTGTGTCTCCTCAGGAGACGTGTGCCACCTACACAGCACAGGTGCCACATCAACGTTCTCTAGGGGAACCCCACCACCACTGTGTGCTTTCCACACATTGACACATTCATGGCTCACCACAGTCTTCCCCATGGGCTCACTTTCCAGCCCTGTGCCTCAGAAAATGAGGCACAGAGAATGACCCGTGCTCCTGAGCTTTTCTGTGAAAGAGATGCAAGTGAGTGAGGGGTGGGACCCCGTGTGGAAGCTCAGGACCACTGGGTGGCATTCCTCCCTCAGCAGTGGGCTCCTGGGTCACAGGGCAGGGGTGATCCAGCCCCATGCATATCCCTGGAAGTACCTGGGCATGTGGAGTTCCATGACATCACCCATGATTAAAAGGTGGCCGCAGTGGTCACATAGCCCAGGTCATCTGTGCATATGTCACAGATTTTCACCAAGCCATTAGCCTAAAAAGTCCAAGTCATGGAAACAGAGTAGAAGGGTGGTGTTGGATAGTGAAGAAAATGGAGAGCTGGTGAAGGGCACCAAGTTTCAGTTATGCGATGAGCACATTCTGGAGACCTGGCACACAGCATGGCAACCATAGTTGATAGTGATAAACGGCACACTCGGAATCTGCTGAGAAAGCACACCTGGAATATTCTCACCACACACACAAATGGCAACCATGTGAAGGGATGGGAATGTTTATGAGCTTGATGGCGGTCCTCATTTCACATTGTTTGCATATACCAAAACTTCACATTTTATACCTTAATTATACATATTTTAGAATTGTTCAATTCTGTCTCAATAAAGCCAGGAAAATAGCCTCAGAAATATTCTGTGAGCTACACATCCTGGAAGTGATGAATTAGAACCGGCAGGACCCCTGGTGATCAGCGGGGCCCATCAGCCTGGCTGAAGTGCCCCAGGATGGCAGAGTTAGAGCACCAGCTCCTGGCCCACACCTCCCCCTGTAAGGAGCCACCCTTCCGGCCTGTGTGAGCAGGTCCAGGGAGATGTCAGGAAGATATTGGCAGTTTAGCGGCAGTTAAGCATGGCAGGAGAGGTCAGGGGACTTTCTTGTTGCTTCACAGTGTAGAGTTGGGCACATGGGGACACTGAGCATTTCCTGATAATTTAGGTGGTCTCTCACTCCATAGCTGAGCACTCTGAGCCTCATCCCAGTCTTGCTTCTCTTTTCCAAGCCTCTTCCACCCAGGAGGATGACCCAGCAGCAGCGGAGCCCATGCGGCAAACCCGCCACACCCATGCACGGCAGGGCTGCGTCCATCTCAAGCCAGCGCCCCGAGTCATCCACAGGAACACCGCCAATGCACTCCCAGCCAGCCCCTCTGTCCTCCTGGCCTCCCTGAGAGGCTGCTGGGGGACGTCCCACCTCACAGCAAGGAAGGAGTGCCTGTCTTTGTCCAAAATCGGTGCGATGCTTTGTTGATGTATTTCATTTCAAATTGGCTCATGTATGAAAATCTGGCAATATACACAACATGTGATACTGTTCCCTGGCAAGGCAGGGTCAGTCACGGATGGCAGCCTCAGCTCATAAACAAACCAGGAGAGGGCCTGCCCTCAGCACCTGTACTTCCTCCTTCTGGGACTAAGAATTTCCCAATTGCCAGCCAAAATAGGCTCAGGAGACCCATCCTCCAGGGAAAGCTCCTGCATGTCCTACGGGTGTTTTCACCCTCCCTGCAGGGCTTTGACTGGACTACAGTTTCCCCTCTGCTTTTCTAAAGCAACCTGTTCTGAAATTATGATACAGAATGCTGGGAAGGGAAGAGCGTGGTCCCTTTAAATGATATGAAACAGGGGAAGGGAAGGGCTGGGTAGAGGACGGTGAGGTCCCTGGTAGGGCTCCACCCCCACGGAACTAGGTGAGGACAAGCACTCCTGCCTTCATGCCCAAATGTTGCATTTCCTACGACCACCCTGGCCCACCACGTTGAGAGAAGCATATCAGTGGAGCAACACAGGTGGCTGGACATTGAGAGGGATGCCCTGTCAGGTGCCAGCACGCAGGCAGGCCACGGGCAGAAGCAGAATGACTTGGAGTTTGGCCAGAGTGGTCGAAGAAGAGTCCCACCACTGGGGGAGGGTTGGGCCGCCAATGTCCCACCTCCAGGGAAAAGCCATCTCCCTGCTGGCTTCCCGATCTGCTGAGAGCTTCTCCCACTCAATGAAACCTTGCACTCTTTCTCCAAGCCTGTATGTGATCCGATTCTTCCCTACACCAAGGCAAGAAACCCTGGGATTGAGAAAGCCCTGTGTCCTTGTGACAAGGTAGAGGGTCTAATTGAAAGGGTTAACAGGCGCCACCTGTAGACAGCAAGCTAAACGAGCACCCTGTAACACACGCCCACTGGTGCTTCAGATGCAAACACCCCTAGACACTGCAGTGGGGTCAGAGCCCCACAGCCTGCCCATCTGAAGAAGTTAGCCGCACCCCCACCGCACGCCCTGTGGGGGGAACAAGGGAACCTTTCCCGTTTCAATTACAGATCATCCCGAAAGTGAGTAAAAGTGCATGATCTAGAATCACTCGCTTGCTGAGAAGAAGTGGAGGTGACGTGGAAAGTGGAACTTTCCTTTCGGCTTTTGTTGGGGAGGCTCCTTGATTCTGGGTTCCTGTGAGGGGTGAGGATCAGGGAGGTGGTGATGGAAGCTGACTTTCCAGATAAAGAGCAATGGGTGCATTTCAGGAAGGAGGTGTACTCCCCTTCAGATGGTGGGATGCTGGTGTACAGGGCGGGTGCTCTGCGTGTGGATGTGCCTGCTGCTCTCTGAGTGCGGCTGTCTGGGAGGCCCTGCATTCATGTCCCCCCTAGCAGCACAGCCACTATCGTCAGTTTCCAAATGAAAAACTCGCATCTCCATGATTGCATATATATATATATATATATATATATATATATATATATTTAAATTTTATCAAATGTATGCTTTGTATGTGTGTAGTTCATGACACTCCAGGCTGTGGCCAGGGCCAGGGGAGATGAGGGTGGGCTCCTGGGGACAGTGAGGTGTCCATTCCCCCCTGCTGCAGCCTCCCTGGTTTTCCAGCACAGGTTGGCAGGGCCATGCTCTTCATTCTGCTTACAATTTGCCCCCAGCTCTGAACCCCTCTAGGACCTGGATACAACCCACTGTTTAGCATCCCTAGGGCCTCACAGAGTGGCCAGTACTTGTGGCTGTGTGTGGGAAGTACCTACTAGATGAAAGATGGCACTTGTCCATTGATAGCTGCTCTGCAAGGAAAAACTCGGGGAGGCGGGGTGATGTCCCCCACATGTCTGGGTCCCCAGCACTATGCTCTCCAGGGTGGCAGTCATTAGCCAGGGGTGTCTATTCTAATTTTTTTAATGTACTATCTAGTCCCTCATCACCCTGGGCACGTTTCCAGCACCCAGCAGCCCTGTACACAATGCAGAGAGAACGTTCCTGTCTGCACAGGATAGTCTTGCAGCAGCGGCTCTGACCTGGCACAGGGTCTGTTTGTTGGATCACCGACTTGAAGCCTGCCCATAGTGGTTGGGGCCCCACATTGATAAGGCTGGCGGTGAGAGCCATAATGACCTAGAGGACAGGGGAGTGGCAGGTTGAAAGGGGGTCCTCTCTTGATGGAAAAGTTTGCAAATGTGAGCAGTGACTTGATGAAGGCCTCTGATGCCAGAGAGCCCACATCAGTTCTGAGAAGACAGAGAACAGAGCAGGGAGTTGCTGTGGGAGGCGGTGTGGCCTCCCCTGTGGCAGGCAGGATGGGTCAGCTCCTCTGAGTAACACCTTTCTTGCTGGCATTTGTATCTCCAGAGCTTGATTGGCTGCAGGAGGCATGGTTCCAGCAGTGACAATGAAGACACTCCAGGTAGATGCACACACTGGAGAGAGGCTTGAGACGTCAATCACCACCAGCAGGGGTCTGTCCTGCAGTCCCAGACTCAACGATGGGTGAATAAATGCACTCTCACACCTGCTTCAGTGATTCAAGTGGGCTCGGGATGGTCGTCGGCTGCTTTTAGAGGGTGACTGCAGCCAATGGACCAGACCCCTGTCCATCCTCACATTTATTCAGTATGAATTCCATAACAGGGGTTCTAAGCCAACATGCCTGTGGATAATTAACATGGTGAAAAGAGTGACCCAGGGCAAACACAATTAACGGGTAATTCCCCTTTCACCTCCCCCTGACTGCACCATCCAGCACAAAGTTTACATGAGGAAAAAGACTAGAGGCAAAGGGATGTGGGATCAACACACTTAACTGGGAAAGCCTCCCATCGTCTCCATCTTTTCCTAACGTAATGGACCGGCTGCCTTCAGCCTGTCCCAATAAAACCTCTCAGCCTTCCAAAAGGTTTGAGACTAATCTATAACTTTCCCTAATATTTCACTAATATTTTGCCAGCTGACCCAGATGAATTCCAACAGAGGCTTCCCAGAGGCAGCCCAGCCAGGCCTGCTGCCTCAGAGATGAGGAAGGGGGAGGGGGATGAAACCAGAAAAAAAGGAAATATGCGTAATTTGTAAAATGTTAATGATACAATTAAAAAAGCGATTATGCCTATGGCCTTTGAGTGTCATGTTTGTCACCATCTTTTCTTGCTTTGCTTCTCAAAGATTATCTTCAGCACATGACCTGATCTTTTCTGCCTCTGGCACCACCAAATATCAGACACTTGGGTTTTGTTGTTTATCATCTCTTGAGAACTGAGCATAGAGTTACTGAGCTGGGTGTTGGTGCTGGCCTGCACTGCGGGACATCCATGGGCACAGCTCTCTCCCAGACACTAGAACCTGGGACCCAGCTCTCCCAGAGTACGCCAGGTGGGGTTGGGAGTGGACCTCTCCCGTCTGCACT